ATAGGAGGTATAGAGGTATAGGAGGTATAGAGGTATAGGAGGTATAGGAGATATAGAAGGTATAGGAGATATAGGAGGTATAGGAGATATAGGAGGTATAGGAGATATAGGAGATATAGGAGGTATAGGAGGTATAGGAGGTATGGGAGGTATTAATTAAGTAGTGCAGATAATCTTTATACAGTACTTGACTTTGAATAGTGATTCAGTCAGATATATTCATTCAAGTTATTGATCCTTGCTCGAAAAAATCAATCATAAAAAATAAATAACTGTTTACTGTGTCTCCCATACCTTCTATATATCATTCGACTTATCGATCCTTGCTCGCGAACATCAATCATAAAAAATAAACAACTGTTTACTGTGCCTTCTATACCTTCTATATCTCATTCAAGTTATCGACCCTTGCTCGAAAAAATCAATCATAAAAAATAAATAACTGTTTACTGTGCCTCCTACACCTTCTATATCTCATTCAACTTATCGACCCTTGCTCGAAAAAATCAATCATAAAAAATAAATAACTGTTTACTGCGTTTCCTATATCTCCTATACCTCCTATATCTCCTATATCTCCTATACCTCCTATATCTCCTATATCTCCTATACCTCCTATATCTCCTATACCTCCTATATCTCCTATATCTCCTATACCTCCTATATCTCCTATACCTCCTATATCTCCTATATCTACTATACCTACTATATCTACTATATCTCCTATACCTCCTATACCTCCTATACCTCCTATACCCTCTATACCTCCTATACCTATATATCTATATACCTCTTACCCTAGGACATAATCGAGTTTCCGGGGATACTCTCCGAAGACATGTAATCAAAAGTTTAATTTTCTAGACAAAATATTATGAATTGACCGGTAAATATATAATCTTTGTTAAGTAATAATACAGACCTGTATAAGTAAAAAATTTAATTGAACGGTTACTTGAATAACAAAGCTTTTATTGCTTTTCGTGGCCGTCCTCGTTTTCTTTTTTCACTCGAAGGTACATCCTTTGCTGCTGGAGATGGTTTGCAAAATTTCAATCTAATTCCCATACCAATTACATGTTTGCAAATATATTCCTTAGAAAAGTTTGGACAATTGCAAAATCCATTTTTCCATCTGACTGAATGTCCGGCAAAGTTACTTTCCACATTCCAAATTGAAGTTCTTTAAATTGATCAAATGACGTCATATTTTTTTCTATTGTATCTTTGGATTTCATTTTTTGTGACATTTTCTGCCTCACCAGCTGATATATAGTAATCGGTAAAACCTTTTGTTTTAGATGATATTTGTAATACTGATTTTGATGAATTTGAAAAATGATATGCATTAGTCCATTTTTGTAATGTAATTGTTGGTTCTGTTGAAAATATGATTGGCTCTATTTGATTCGGATTGCGAGACTTAGAGCATCTATTGACGATATCATTTGCAATTGTAAAAAAATCTTGATAATGGATGTCGTTCTCTAAATGTGTGCTCATCTTTAATGACCCTATCTATTGCTTCTAATGAATTGTTTGTATTTGGTGTGCAGTGATTGTATCATTTATACCATGAATCAAGAGTTTTTAACCATTCCGTTTCGAAATATTGTAAAAAATCATGTTCTCTTTTGCTCTTTACAAATAATGATGATGCATTTCTAAAGCTTGTTTCTGATTTGCATAATTCTTCTTATCTTAGGTAACCGTACTTTGTCTTTATTCGAAATTACTTAGTAGTAATAATTTTTACTTAGCGATTTTACTTTTTTAGTATAATTTCGATTTATTAACTTAACAAAAAAAATTTTTAGTTAGTTATTAACTATCAAACTTAGCAAATATTTTTTTTTACTGATAAACTTTTAATTAACTGAGAGTTTAGTATTTTTACTTAACATTCAATTTTTTTACTGAGCAGATACAAACTTTACTTAGCAAAAATCAACTTAGCATTTATATATTTTTACTTAGCACTTAAATAGGTGCCCGTACCAAGTAGATTATCATCGATATGTTTTGTTATACATTCTCTCGATATATTTTATTGAAATAAGTCTCATAAAAATGTATACATGCAATTAGTATCATTGTTAGAAAGATTTGTTATTCATCGATTTGTAAAGAACCACTTCGAGTATATTTTGCATTATTAATTCATTAAAGTTACTAGATAATTTTGACGATAGTATAAGCAAACTTTTCAGAGAATCATCCTCTACAAGATTTCAAATTCAAGATTTTCAATGATTGATTGAATAGTCGGTAGCCTCGAGAATGGTGGAAGATAGAACTTCTCAACTTTTTTCATTGTCGAATTATACCGAAAATGATCACAATGGTAGCACGGAGATTTCTTCTTTAATAAATGTCCTTCTAAATTATATAATACAAAAAAGAGACAATTCATCCGATCAGCTATTTATTTCAATAGAGAATATAATAAACTTTTAATACTTTAGAAATAGTCAAGATTTCATCTCATTGACTGAATACTTGTTCTATTTTATCACTGTATTCTTTACCATTGAGAAACCGATAATTTGATAGTTTATTATACATTTTCAGAGGTGCATCTAAGTTTCTAGAGCAGGAAGCGTGATTGCGTGAGTGTGGCTGTAGTCCTTCTCGTCATCCACTCACATTCACATCCATAAGTACCCGTTATCGGCATACAGCGACCTCATGTAATTCTAGTGACATGTGGTTAGTAAATAACTTTTATTTTTTGTAACTGAAACAGCTGATATTTATCTTCTTTTATATTTTCACTACTGATCATACCAATCCTCTATGTAAGATAAAAAGCCATCTAAAAATAAAATAAAACAATCAGAATGGATCATATAGTAAGTTATCTGTAATTTTTAATTTTATTAATTATTTCTTTTCAAAAAAGGAATTTGAAAAAGATCTTATTGCAATATTACTTGTTGTTGAAAGTATTCATGACAAAAATAGACTTTTATATAAATATGAAGAAATTAAAACATATAAACGAATACGTAATTATATTCTTTTTTTTAATCATTATGTAAAATTTCATTGAAGATTTTTATAGAGGAACCAATTGCTTTTTATACTCCTTATTCAATTGTTATTGCAAAAGACTTTGATCCACCAAGGTAAAATAAAACAATAAATGAATAAATTTATATATGCATTAATTTAGTGTTAAAGATGATGATGCATCTCGAAGAACATTTTTAAAGTATGAAAATGAATAATATAATTTATTTATTATTTATTTTTCATTTAGTTTTGATGAAACAACTCTTTCAATCTTAACTAGTCCATATTCTTATGGAAATCATGTTGAAGTACAAGTTGATGATGTTATTTTTGTTGGTCATACACATGGTTTAGAAAATAATAAAAATTTAAAATCATTTGCAATATTTTTTGCACTTCGAGTACTTTTCTTTTTTTTTTTTTTTAAAAATATTATCTATATTGATAATTTAGGCTATCGCTAAAGCTTCTGTTATATTATCTTATCAAGAAATGAGTAAACGTATTGGTACAGCAATACGCTGTGAAGAACAACGAGCATCATATTTAAATCAAGAATATGCAAAATTAATAGGTGTTATTCAACAACATGATATTGGAGTTGGAGCAAATGATTCATGTATAAAGTTTTTTTTTTAAAATTTTAAAATATAATTTGTATTTATTTATTTTTTTTTTATTAGTAAATCGTGTACCAAATGAAGATAATGTAAAAGAACGTGAAGAAAAAGACCGAACAAAAGAATAAATTTATTCAACAATGGTCGAACAAAGTGTTCTAGCAGCAACATTAAAACAAATATATATTGAGTAAAAAAAAAAAAAGATTAATTGAATGAAGAAAAAAACAAATATAGATAAAATTATTCATTATTTCTTTATATAGTTTACAAGTATCTGGTGAAATAAATATAACGATTAATAATTGGTTAAATGTGTCTTATTGTTTACCACATCGATCAGTTCCTATAAATTGTCCATTAGACATTGATCACGTGGTTCATGTTCTTTCAAATGCTGAACAATATCTTAAGTAAGACTTATTTTACTTATAGTATTATTATTAAAATCTAGTTGTATAAAACAAACATTTCTTTTTTAAGAGAATTTGTATTTTTTTTTATATATGTAGGGAAAAGGTCAAAAATTAATTTTTATGAGAATACAGTAACGATCTATTTTTGCATTATTTACGGGAGTTGGACAGTTATGCGGTTGAACAAGTCCTTATTCAAGAAAATTTTGAAAAAAACTCCAATTCGAATATATTATTTAGTTGTCCTGCAAGATTACATTTAAAAACATCAATAAAAAACAGTAACATTGAACAAGAATACACAAATAGAAGTAGAAAGAGAATTTATAGAGATAGTAAACACTCAATATACTGTAACTGATCGTTAATATCTATAGATTGATTGTCAATCAAATTTTATCATTGTTTTCTGAAAGATTTGTTTTTTTTTTGTTTTCGTCGTTGACTACCCGACATAATGTTGATGATATGTAGGTATGAGTACAAGTGTATGGATCTTCTTTTCATCTACATCCACTCTCAAATCGTGACAGGAAAATCAATTGATCAACTCCCGTCGATATTCGAATGATTGAATTTATAGTTTGAACGAATATTATTGTACATCATTCGTTCAAAATCTTAAGATAGAATCTATTTGATGATCATCTCTTCTGTGACGGAAGTGTCACCATGCTCATACGTTCCAACAAGCAAGTGTCCTAAACCCTTATTTACTTATCTAGCATAAGAAAGTCTATGATTATCATAAGTTTATTATACATAGATAGACTTAATTATGGAATTCTTATCAATAGATTAATTATTTGTTCATATTTATATATGTAATTATTCATTAAATTTCTAGACCATATTATGGCTTAGTACTTGTAATTGATCCATCAGCCTTGCTTGCATCTTTACCAACGGATAGTTCATCAACATTAAATACACTTGTAAGACATCTTCGTTCATCATATTCACTTTCTCGTTTATCAATAGAAACCAGTATACCACTTTCTCAAGTTAGTTTATTTGTTTTTCTTTTAGAAATATTCATGTTTCTTTTATTTTAGATTTATCGTCTCACAGCTCATTTAATTTTTTGGGGTCGAGCAAAAATTATCTATCCAATTCATGATGATAATATTTATATTATTTCACCTGATGCAGACATATCCAAGTATTAAAAATAAATATATATTTTCAATAGTTTATATATATATATAATTTTCTTTTATTAGACAAGGAGTTCTATCAAAAATGTATAAAGAAACATTTCAAAATACATCTAATTATCCAATATTACAAGAAGCATTAGCTGAATATTCAGATGCAATTACATTTTATGATCATATATCACGTAACGATAATGAAACCGATTTGGTAAAATTTTTGAATCAATTAAATTAGTAATCCAAAGAAAAAAAAACATTTGTTTTTTTTTAAAGCGTGAACGTCTTCAATGTGTTGAATGATTACTTCGTCATCGTTTACTTGTTCAAGTTCATTATTATTATTATCTTCTTTTACTAAATGATGATCGAAATGATTTTAAAGATGAATATAAACGAACACGTTTACCTTGACCACGTGCACCACTTGTGAGACTTTTGTCTGAATTACCAACATTTTGTGAGTAAAAAGACAATTTTCTTTTTCTTTTTTTTGTTTTTCTAGTGGCGCAACCAGTATTCATCAGAACGTTTTGGATCATCATCTAAAACTGAACGTTTTTTGTCTGACTAATGAAAATATTGATATACGAGGGAATATATTGCGTATATATGGGTTTGAATATAATATGGGTAGAGAACTATCATTCGTTCTTTTTTCCTTTTTGTTTCTTGCTTTGGTGTGATGCTTTATGTCTGTAAAAAAAACAATAGATGCTGCTCTACGATTTATAAAAAAAAAACACAAGAAAGAAAGAGATAATAGTATTGCTTTACGTAGATATCATCTAATAGAATATAGAACAACGAAAGTTTTCGACTGTCAACAGAGTTATCAAATCGAAAAGTAGTTATTTGACGTTTAAATACATAAATTGCCTTTATTTATTGAAATATGTTTTATTCTATCAACATTTTATGTGAAAATTGTTAGTGACATGTTCTTCTTCAATCTCACTTATACTTGTATTTGAATCCTTGAGCTCATCATTTACAGCTGAATTTAATTTAGTTTAATATGTTAGAATTATTCATGTGAAAAAGTTTCTTTTAAAACTCAGTTTACTCAAATGACATGTTTTTATAATGTAGTCTATTCAGTTTAATTTGAAATGACTTTCGATTGAAGAGAGCATGTACTGTTAGTAGTCTCAAAACTTTATCCTATATATAATGAATACAATAACATAACAAAAACCCATTAATTTTGCTGAAAAAAATCAATTTGCAAAGCTATAATCAAACTCAAAAAGAGTTCGAATTTAGCTAAATAGAACAGCTCGAAATTTGGAATTTTTCCTATCATTTCGAAAGATTTGGCAACCATATAAGTGTCAAATATTTCGAATTGATTGTTATTGTAAGAGTTGAAATATTTAAGATAAATGTAAGAATTTGCTTGTATTCTATCATATGAAAATTTGATCCATAAAATAAAAGATTATTACAAAAAAAAAATAGAGAAATTCGCTTCTTCTTTTTGATTTGGATTAAATTTTAAATTTCTGGTTACGCCGTTTGAATTATTTTTCTAATGGAAATTGTCTTTTTTTTTTTCTTTTTATATTTTTCTAGCTTCATCTCCCATGACAAGTACATTATCATATTCATCTACTCATCATTCGAAATCAATAGATACATTAAAAACTTTAACAGGTACTAGTCATGATGATGTATTTATTCCAGCATCATCAAATAGTAGTACAACAGCAACTACAAATCGAATACAATCATATCTTCAACAAATTATACAAGCTTTACCGAATGAACGACATGAATATCGACAACGTCTTGCATTAGCTATTAAAGATGCAAAAGAACAACATGTTACTGATTTTCTTAAGTAGATTTCTTCTTTTTTTTTGTTGATTAAAATTTACTTGGCTTTTTTTTTTGTTTCTTTTATTTAGAATTATAAAATATCTCAATGGAACTTATCATCTTGAAGAAATAGCTTCACTTGAAAATATGACACGTTTACAAATATAAACAATAATAGAAAATTTCCAATCGATTGTTATTCCTGCTCTTCATCCTGATCCAAATCCAATTTTGCAAATATAGTTATATTGAACATTGAATATGTTATGTTTCTTCTTTATTTTTCTTGATTTTTTTTTTCATGTATTTGTATTTATATGAACAGTGATTTTGTTGTTTCTTATAAAGTATTTTCTTTGTTTTCAGATCATTTTATATATTTATTTGTTAAGGGAGGAAAAAAAAATAAAGATACACTGTGAAAAATCTTTTGATTAAAATCAGATTATTATACAATCAAATCAAAATCTATTAGATTAATTATAATTTTGATATTGTTACATAATATTTCAATTATAATTGAAATAGTTTTCACTTCGTAGACAAATATAATAATTCTTCAAATTTAGACGACTCATCTTATGACCAGATATATTAAGAGAATTAAATTGAATATTGGTTTTTCATGAGGCTATAACAAATGATATACTATATTGAAAAGTTTATATTTATTTCATTTTGCTACTTATCTAAGAAATTTACATTGATATTAATCGAAAAATAGATATTGATAATTGATCGATTCATTAAGTTTTTCTAATAATGAATGATTCATAATTATTGTGAACTTTTAAGATATTCATTCTATAGGTAATTCTTTAGTTACATGCTCGTATATATCCGAGTTGTACTTTTCTCAAACTACTCCTGTTACAATTATAATCTTCTCGTTTTAGTACAATTCTACAAGATTATGACGTTTCATACATTATACTATTTGATGATTTTTTTTCTGTCCTTACTCTAGTCCACCACACAAGGGGCGTATTTAGTGGCGTAACGAAATATTGTTAATCTTGAAGTGTACTACAATGCGTCATACAGCGATATTGAGGTAAAATGTCTTTACACATGAAACAGAAGGTTTCTATTGCTGAGGCAAAGCACTTCATACCCAAGATATCGACTGACTGTAGACACGATAAGTTTCTGATTTCATGATTAGAAGCTATGATAAAGTCTTTTTAGATGTCAGAGACTTTGCAGTATAAAATTTCAACTCGTACATGGACATAAATAATTTAATTAAGACACATATACGTTTAATATCTAAGATATGAATAGTCATTTTAAGATTGAATCATGCATAACCATATAAGGAAACTATCAGCTGTTAATTATCTTGTTCAACATTTTTTTTTGTTAATCCTGAACGTCGAATTTCGAAAAACAGATTTCAGATGTGCACTCGTCACGCTCTCAGGATCTCGCCAAGCTTTTTTTTCGACTTAAAATGATGCTTGGGAACTGAGAATAAGTGACTGACTTCAATCGTGACTCAAGCATCCTTCGGTAGAAGAAAAGGAAGAAAGAAAATTACTAGGCAACCAAGAGACTGAGAAGCAATAAGTCGGCTACTGCGCTTCTTGCAGTCAGCTGTCTTTAAAAAAAAAAACAAATGGTTTTTGCTAGTAGAAAAAAAACACATCGTAATCAAAGAGCTAAACAAATAGAACGAACTTTTTTAAGATGAAAACTGAGATCAATTAAACCAAAAAGTCATTGGTTGAAGTATTATATCCTATTTGGTAAAGTTAAATCTCCTGTTTTAGATAGTCAATTTATCATGGCTAATGCTAAAATTAAATCTGATGAAAAAGATGAACCTGTAATTAAAGAAGACATTGGTGTATTTCAACGTACAACTCAACAAATCTCACCATCAACACAAGAAAAACGCAAACGAAATGAAGATATTCCTGTTGAATCACCTAGAAGATACATCCATCGTTCAGATGGAAATCGTTATGCAACAACAGAAATGAAAAACAATTCATTATCTGTTCCATTTTGGAAGAATCTAAATCATCGACAATCATCATTTCAATTTCAAACGCATGAAATTGGTTATTTTGCATTATTTAATCAAATAGATGATAAAGAATGTTTTGAAGATAAACGTTATATGAGCGGTAAATGCTCATATTTATCAAAAAATATCATCTACAGATTTCAATAGTATCAAATCTGAAATGTGAATTCAATTATTGAAGATATTTTTTTCTAAATATTCAACTCTTCCCTGAACAAGACAAATGACTAGTTGAATATTTGAATGTCAAGTTTTGTAGATATAAGATATTCAATAATTAAAATCAACTTTCAGATTTGATATAGACGATAAATTTTATTTTAGTTTATAAATATCCACTTGAAACACTCAATGTTAATTTTTGATTTAAAAGTTGGTGAATCAGATTTTATTTCCGAAAGACGACAAAGTAAAAATATTAATGCGATGCTTTGGTGGATATTACGACATAAACAAGATATTTTCAAAAATAATCAGTAAATATCTTTGTTCTGATGTTTTTCTTGGAATATAAAATGTATTTCTTTTTATCATAGATTTACATTTGATTTTCTTTCATAGCGTGGTGTTCTTCGTCTTATTATGTTTTCAATTTATGAAAAAAAAATCTGATTGGTTATTAGCTGTTATTAAATTTAAGAATGCTTATTTTTTATGTGAATTTGAAACAGATATGCAAAAAAAAGATGAACAAAATATGACACCTGAACATCGTTCATTTTGTTATTATGGTCACAAATTTGAAGAATATGTTCCTAAAAGTAAATATAAAGTAGTGGAAAAAAAGTTTAACAACAATTCATTTTTGATATTTTTCCATAATGCAAAGCATTCAACTCACGATTGTTGATATATTTTAGAAGTGATAGAAGCAAAAAATTCAGTAGAAAGCGCTTTCATTCTCGAAGCTCTAGAAGTGGTGACTGCGGACGGGAAAAACCAAAACCTCCTATGAGTCGACACCTTCTACATCAGACAACCTGTTACTAGACCGTCCCTTTCTCGTGGCCTACGCCAATCCTATTCATCTCGCAGCAATATTGTCTGCTTATTCTTATTTCATTCTCTATCAGAGAAAAGTAAACGGTATATCAAAATCCGATTTTTTGTCCAAAGTTGCTACGAAGCTGTAAAAAATTGGCAGAAACTATTAAGAATGTTAGCAGAAAGTCAAACATTTTGGGAAAGAAGAAAGATTTTCCTGATTGAGAATCCTGATTCAAATAGCGATTTTAATAGCCAATAGCATTTTCTATATAATGCATTCTATAGCAAGATTTCGAAAAAATCGAACAGGATAGTTTTCAGATCTCAGAAAACTTTGTCAAAGCTATTTTTTTAAACAATGTCAATTTAAGGAGCGCAAAATTCTGAACGTAATGAGGAATCGGCGTATTCTCTACGATCTTCCATTAAAAACTTGAAAGGATCACAAAACCTAAAAAAGGCGTTTTTTTAGTCGATTTTTAGATAAATTTCGTTTTTTTACGATCTTTGTAATACTTTTAAGTTTTTAAGGAAAGGTCCTAGAGAATGCGGCAACTCTCCATTATGTTCAGAATTTTGTGCTTTTTTGAAATGGTATTGTTTAAAAAAAAATAGCATTGACAAAGTTTTCTGGGAGCTGAAAACTACCGTATCTGGTTTTTTTTTTAGAAACCTCACCTTCATAGTTCATCTATGAAATTTTGCTATAGAATACATTATATAGAAAATGCTATTGGCTATTAAAATTATTATCTGGATTTGAGCTCGGTATTGAACATTATAGAAAAAAAAAAACTATATTGTTGTTAAACTTTTTCTCATCAATTTATTTTATTCGAATATTATTCTCATATTTCTTTGTTTGGATCTTTAGATAATACATCAACTGAATCATTAAATCCTTCAAAACAATTTGCTGGAGTATTTCAAGCAACAATAGGTTCTTATCGTCTATTATATGGTGCTGAAATGGATTGTGTAGTAGAAAAATCATCATCGATAACTGAACATATTGAACTTAAAGTTTGTGCTGGAAAATCACTCGATGATCTACCATTTAAACAGTGAATATAACAATTTAATGAATAAATTTCATGTATAACTATTTATTCTTTATAGTAATCGAAAATTTGCTAAATGGTGGATTCAGTGTTTTCTTGTTGGTAATAAATCTTCTTTTTTTTTTATTTTCTTCTATAATTTATTTTGAAAAATTTAATATATATGTACGTATTAAAGGTATTAAAACAATGGTGATTGGTTGACGTGATAATAATGGTATTGTTAATAGTCTTGCACGACTAAATATAACAGATATTGAAAAAGCAACAGTAATATTTTTATTTTAAATTTCTTGTATTGATTAAATCTATTTTGTATTCATATAGTGTACATGATCTCGTCAATCATTCTTCAATTTCTTTTTACTTTTTGCTGAATTTCTTAAAGAACATGTTACAAATGAATACTCACATATTCATAAGTAAATTTTTACTCTATATATAATATTTAAATTCTAAATCTTTTTCTTTTATAAAGAGATGTTGTTCTATTTCATTTTTTACCGTCGTCTCAAACAATTACAATGACAAAATCATCTGATTCAAAATATCATTTTCTTTCTGATTGGTTCTTCAATCAATTCATTTAAACATTCACATTGTATACATTTATTATATATATATATATTCATAATATCATTATCAATAAATGAATTTTTTTATTCATAATATCATTATCAATAAATGAATTTTTTGATTTCTTCGTCTAATATTGAATAACTTCAATCATCGTCATTATCAATAATCAACTTCAGCTGAATAGGTTTTTTATAATTCATTTTATTATTTCAGATAAAAAAAATATGTTAAGAATTAAAACTATTTTTAATTCCACATATCAATTTCAAAGATTATTTTCATTATATAAAACAAATAATGAAAAAAATTCAATGTCATCACCAGCAATATTAAATTCAACAATAAAAACACTTATCGATAAAAAACAATATAAACAAGCCGTAGATCTATGCTATCAAAATCTTGAAAAATGTACAAATTATACAATTAGCATAGCAATTAATGCTTGTAATATATTAAATGATTATCAACGTGGTATCGATATTAAAGAAAAAATTCCATCAAATGCACTTGAAAATTCTTATATTCAAACATCATTAATTCGGTTCTATAGTGAGTTATTGATTTTATCAATCAGAATATGATTATAGAATAATAGAAATTTATCAATACTCCTTCGATAAATGAGAATCCTTTTTTATTTTTTATCTCTTCTGAACAAAATAAAACTTGCATAATTATAGATCTCATTTATACAAATAAGGAAACTTCAGTTTCTCAGATCAATCCGATAAACCCACTGTTTTTTCTGCGATACAAATATTATATTTTTTCATATACTTTTATAAGAATATTCGGATTGAGCCAGTAAGAGTGTGTCAATAGTTATTAGAAGTCTTAAAGCAGGTTTTCCAAAGATTGATTTTACTTCATGAAACAAACACAAAAATCATGACAGAAATGAGTAGTTGATACGACTTCAAATTATTAATGCTAAGTATTCAACAAAAATACTATCATTTAGTGAATGTCGATTGTAATCCATAGATTCTTATACCGATCATGGTTTTTGTTTTATTTTTAGCACAATGTCATGACATTGATAATGCACTTCATCTGTTCTCTTCGATAACAAAAAAAAATAGTTTTATCTATACAGCTATGTTCAAAGGTTAATATCATTTTTTTTTCTTTTTTTTTGTTACTAGATGTTTGTTATTCTTAGGTTTAATATCTAATAATATGCCAGAAAAAGTATTGGATTTATTTGATGAAATGACATTTAAACCTGACAAGTTTATTCTGGCAGTTTTATTTAATGCATGTGGTGAAGTTGCTAATGATCGAGCGATGAAGATTGGAAGAAAACTGCTTGATGATATGCTTAATAATTATCGAAATGATATTGTCTTATTAAATTCAGCAATAGATATGTTAATGAAATTTGGTGATGTTCAAGGTGCTGAACGTATTTTTGGTTCAATCAAGACGAAAGATATTATTACTTATAATGCTATGATGAAAGGTAACATTTCTTAGATAGTTTTTTGAATATTGTCAAATTTAATTTAGGATATATTCGAAATAAAATATATGAAAAATCATTGGATTTATTTGAACAAATCAATTTCAATGTAGATGATGTAACTTATATTATTGTATGTAATGCATGTGCTCAACTTGCTAATGATCGAGCAATAAAAATTGGAAAAGAACTTCTTCATGAAATGCCTAATATTCATCGAAATAATAATGTACTATTAACTTCAGCAATAGATATGTTAATGAAATTTGGTGATGTTCAAGGTGCTGAACGTACTTTTGATTCAATCAAGAAGAAAGATATTATTACTTATAATGCTATGATGAAAGGTAACATTTCTTAGATAGTTTTTCGAATATTGTCAAATTTAATTTAGGATATGTTCAAAATGAAATGTATGAAAAATCGTTGGATTTAGTTGAACAGATGGATTCAAACTTAAATCATGTAACTTATGCTATCCTATTTAATGCATGTGTTCAACTTGCTAATGATCGAGCAATAAAAACTGGAAAAAAACTTCTTCATGAAATGTCTAATAATTACCGAAATAATACTGTCTTATTAAATTCAGCGATAGATATGTTAATGAAATTTGGTGATGTTCAAGGTGCTGAACGTATTTTTGATTCAATCAAGACGAAAGATATTGTTTCTTACGGTGCTATAATGAAAGGTAATATTTCTTAGATAGTTGTTCGAACAATGTCAGATTTAATTTAGGATATATTCGAAATGAAATGTATGAAAAATCGTTGGATTTATTTGAACAAATCAATTTCAATGTAGATGATGTAACTTATATTATTGTATTTAATGCATGTGCTCAACTTGCTAATGATCGAGCAATAAAAATTGGAAAAAAACTTCTTCATGAAATGCCTAATATTCATCGAAATAATAATGTACTATTAACTTCAGCAATAGATATGTTAATGAAATTTGGTGAGGTTGAAAATGCTGAACATTTTGTTAAATTGATAAGAAACAAAAATATTATGACGTATGGTGCTTTAATGAATGGTTACAATATTAATGGTGAACCGTGGAAATGTTTGAAGATTTTTCAAGAAATAAAACAAAAGAATATTGTTCTAAATGAGATCATATGGAATTTAGTTATCGGATCATATTCACAAATTGGTATGATTCGACAAGCTGAATATATAAGTAATCAAATTCCTTTACATATTCAAAATGAAAAACAAATACAAAACTCAATGATTCATATGTGGGTAAGTATTGATTGTTGATTTTCATTGAGTAGACCATTTTATTAATCATTTATTCGTCTGTTTTTTGTTATTTAGGGCAAATGTGGTTCTATTGTAAAGGCCCAAAATGTGTTTAAATTAGTTTATGATCCTGGTACAGTGACATACAATGCGATGAGTAAGTATATTTACTTTTGTTTCTTGTTTCTCTTTAATATTGGATAATTTATTTTTGAAGTTAATGGATTTGGACTTAATGGAATGGGTTCTGAAGCAATTGAATTATATAGAGAGATGCCAAATAATCTACATAATGAAATTTCACATATTTGTGTATTAAATGCATGTTCTCATTCAGGTCTTCTTCATCAAGCTCAGAATATATTCAATGAAATTAATTTGAAAACAGAAAAAATCGTAACTATTATGGTTTGTTTGTCTATTTATTTTTTTTAAAGTTTAACTATGATTACATTATATTTAAGGTTGATTGTTTAAGTCGTTTGTTTTTATTTGATGAAGCATTAAATATGATAGATGAATATGAAAAGAAAAACTCACCATGTTTTGTCATGTATAGTAAGTTTTTTTGTCATAATATTATATTGATGTATTGTTTATTTATGTATTTATTATTTTCATCTTAGTGTGTTTATTATCTGGTGCACGTAATAATCGCAATAGAAATTTATCTGAAAAGATATATAATCGAATGAAATATTTGTTTCCTGATCAGAAACAACGTCTTGCATCAGGTGTAATTCTTCTATCAAATATATATTCATCTGTCGGTGAACATCAATTAGCAAAAAACTTTCGATCTAGTCAAATAAAAGAATTAGGAGTAAAAGTCAAAATGGGATTATCATGGACTGATGCAAATGGTGAAATAGTCGTAAGATAAATCTATTAATTGTTAAAATATAAAGAAAATTTGTTGATTTTCTAGGCATTCAAAGCTCATGATCATTCTCATCCTCAATCAAGAGAAATCCATGCTGAAGCTGGTCGTATACACCGTGAATTGATTGAAGATGGCTACAAGTGTGATTCTTCTTGGGTAACTCGTGAATTATACGAAGAAGAAACTATTGAATCAGCTTTATGTGGTCATAGTGAAAGATTGGCAATAGCCTTTAATTTTATTCAACGACCTATTCCAGAATTTATTCAAGTCACAAAAAATCTTCGTGTTTGTGGTGACTGTCGTAAGTTAAATTTTTTCATCACGATTGTTCTTAACTATCAATGTATACTTTTTTTTTCATTTTAGATGAAGCTACAAAACGAATTGCAAGAATTCGACAACGTGAAATTATCGTCCGTGACGCTAATCGAATCCATCATTTTTACAAAAATGGACAATGTTCCTGTCAGGATCATTTTTGATTTTTTCTGTTTTTTTCTTTGTTGTTTTTTTTTTGTTATGAATTTTGTTGTTCAATAAAGAACTCGTTGTATAAGTCACATATTTTCAATGCGCATTAGTAAACAAAGGGAAAGCCTATAGTTTGTACTGATTTAGCCTCAAAGTCAAAATTAATTACATAAGATTCATTGCACATATCGGAATAAGCAAACAAAACTATGGAAATTGGATTTTTTGATTTATTCATGTTAAAAAGATAATATAAAATATTGTTGTTATCTTAAGTTAATAGTTTATTGATAATCATTCTAATTAGATTTTCTTAAGCTTAAAAAAAATCGAGTTTGTCAGAATACAAAAGCTTTTGCTTACGAATCATTTTATATGAAATATTTCATTAAACGATCTTTCTCTTCTCTCTCCACCTCAGAAAATTTGATTTTCATCAAAAAAATAATTTTTGAAATAAATATTTGTACATATTGCCTAAGTTGCTTCATATGCGAATTCATAAAAATAGTTTTGATTCACAAAACTTTCGGTATCTCATGAATGATCTTTAGAACAATCAGTAAATTTGTTTTTGTAGAGTTATACAGTAAAACCTTCTTATGTGGACACCTCCGTATTATGGGCACTTTCTGGTTCATCCGAGCTATTTTTGCTGGAAATGAACCTCTTGAATGTGAACACCTCCTTATTCTGGACTGTGGACACTTTTCTCTGGTCCCTCCGTAGTAAATAACCTCGGTAAAATGGACACTTGCTTAAGTTCGTTATAATTTTTTTTAGTCAATCAGATTCGCACATGTCTGCATACACTGATTCGATTATCATGACGAATATACCGCAAGGATAAAAGAATAAATAGACAATAATACTGAATGATGTTTAAAAATCAGGCAGTAATGAAATAGACTAGTCAGAACAGAACAAGACGAGGATGAACGGGTAAAAAATAACGAAAGAGAGATAAACGACACAAATAAAAAGCAGAAAGAAAAAGAATGAATGGAACATATATTTATTTATCAACTCATGAAACGACATAAATTATCATTTGAACAAAAGATCTTATTGTTCACAGATAATAGCGTCGGCAATGGTCTTTCAATACGTAAAGTAGCGGAATAGTACTCAATTTCCAACAGCAGCGCCGCCAATATTTAAACGTGTCTTGAGGAATATCAACATGGTTATTTGACTAACACTAAGAAGTAGCTTTCAATAAATTATAACCTAAAATGTTCTCAGAACGTCACTTTTTTGACAATAATATGAAGGAAGGGATTCTGGTGTCCTTCGATTTCAGCAGCAACATCTGTTAAGAAAAAAACTGAAAATCTCTGCAAAGTGGACACCTCCTCATAATGGACACATTTAAATAGTCCCTTAGGTTTCTACTATAGAGAGGTTATACCGTACGTGTAAAAAATAAAGAATTGTTTTGTCAGTGGTAATCAAAATCTTGCAGATGCGAAAGGGACACTTTTAAGATTTTCGATGACTTTAGACTATAAATGTGCATTTTTTTTTCATCTATACAGACATATCAGAATAGCTGAATATCCAGTTGAGCCATCAGACTATGAAGTATTCTATTAACCTCCGAAATCATCTGACAGCAAAGGAGAATGTTTCGAAAACATGTGATTGAATTCACGTTCCATACTGATCTGATGACTTTTGTTTACATTTTTTCAGTTGCTTGTTTTCATAGAGACTTAAACAAAAACATCATTGATCAGCTATCGCTTCATTGTTGTTCCTTGAATGAAAGATTATGAAAATTAATTCTAATGAAAATATTTATAGAACGATAACAAGGTTTTAGCACTAGCCCTTTACATCTAGTCAGTAAAACATGAACTAAAATTTCACGTAAAGAAAATTTAATTGCTAATTTCACTCCGATTTATTACAAGATTGAATGTACTATTGTGTAGCTATAAATCCTATAGATGTGAGTTTAGATGAGAGTGTCTGTATATTCCGTTAATATCCAAATCAAACTATTCACACTTCACACAAAATGATTAAAAAAAAGAGAAAGTAAAATAAAGAATGTGAAAAAAAAGAATGAAGGCAAATGTTGATATTTTCTTTGCCAATACCTATACTCTCAAGATTACTTGCAGAGATTGAAATAAATATGAAAATATTGAGGTGAATTTAATTTAAGTCAATTTGATTAAGTCGAATAGAATTCTTTGTCAATTAGACTTAGTTTTGATTCCAGGAGTTTCAAAAATCAAGTCAAAGTAATTTTTGATTAGTTCAAACAATTGTACTTAAAGTTAAAATTTCGATATTTTAGAAAGTATCAATGAAGATGAAAAGATTTAAATAATAAATAAGAATATTTATCGATGCCTTTGACATTGCATATGTCCGACTTGTTCTCTAAACTAAAATAAGCTTTGTAAAAAAAAAAATTTCAAAAATGTGAGAAAATAAATCAAATAAGGAAAAATTCCAAAAGAAGTTTGATAATACATTGTTTAAATGAATATAATTCTTGTTTCGACCACTAAATTTAATAGTTATATAATCGAGAAAGTGAATGTGAATGTTTATTTTTCATGAACTAATTCTTACATGGTTTTTTACAAAAGCGATTTTGATATTACCTTTCGATTCTAAAAGTACATTAAATAGAAAGTGAAGATTTTTTCGTTGTATTCATGATATCATCAAAGTTTAACTGTATTTGATTAACTATGATAAATTTAAAGAAAGAAACCTAATGAAAATATAATCTTTTCTATAGTAGAAATCGTGGGAAAAAATAAAATTATTAATTGATATTTATTTAAGCTCATTAGATAAATTATCTCTAGTAAATTATGTTCAATATTCATTTAAAGATTCATTCATTCGATTAGAAATAATAATTCGATTATATTTTACTATTGAAATAGTTGCTGCTATTTATGAAATAAAAAAAAAAGTTAATAAGTAAAATAAATAAATGTGAAAAAAATCTTAATGATTATTCATATCGAAATCTCTCTCATTTTTTCTTAATCTCGAACTTCATATCGGCAAACTTCATGTGGCTAAAGATTTTAAAAATGTTCATTATAATTCTATTTGAAAATTGAATGATATTTAGAGTTCAGTAAACGAATATATGATAAACCTTGTCAATATATGATGAATGATCATGAAGATAATCAAGATTTCCTAGATCATTTTACTTATATGAAGTATGGTAAAGAAATGATTAGTTGAAGATTATTCAAAAAACATATTCCGATTGTAAGAACCAGACTTAGAAAAAAATAATTTCCTTTTGTTTTAATTTATATGTTAAAGGGTATGATGCTCGTCAACCAGTATCGTCTGATTCATATTATTGGTAAATACAAACCAATTTCATTTAACAATTTATGTAATTCAACGAGAAGCATTTCATTTAACAGATGGAATTCGATTTTTTGGTCTTTCCAAAGGATCCATGCCAACAATAACAAGTGGAATTATTTTCGATTTATATTGATGAATTAGGCTATTGGAAATTCTGAACAAAATCATTATTATGTGTATTTGAATGATCTAAAAAGTCTTGGTCTTTATGTTTCTTTTAACATTAACGACATCACTTTTTCTAACAATGGAGGTGTGTGTGCTGTAACTCAAGGAGGTTGGTCATATTCGGGTCAAATGATCACTTTCACCGAGAAACTTACGAATTTAAAATATGAGTTGCCAGTGGCGTATCTGGAGAGAGATACTCAATTTTTAAGTATGCACAATCTGACGTAGGATATCCCCGGTCAGGATTCGAGTGTTTTCTATCGCGATTCGCCACACGCCCGATTCCAACTAAGATCACACTGGTTCCAAGTAGAACTCGATGAGCTCCATCCAACGCACTAATTTTTTTCCGAAAACAAACAATCCTTTCTGGCCAAAACCCCTTTTTCCCCCCAAAAAAATAAGAAAAAACCACACAACGACACCAAAACCACTCGCGATTCGCTCAGAGACCGATTCCAACAAAATCAACACTGGTTCCAAGTAGATCTCGATGTGCTCTATCCAATGGACACCTTTTGAGCTCAAATCGATGCACCCATCACTGAGAAATCAGCCTACAA